TTTGCAGTCAAATGCTACACAGGTTGGCATTTTTACTGTGCACCTCCGTGTGAGTGGGGAGTACCAACATGTCGGACGATGGCTTCACTTTTATTGGGTAATCCAGTGAATAAATAGAGATCAGTGAGCCAAACCAGGAAAAGGTAGGTACTTTAACTCAACAGAAACAGAAACTAAGGAAAAATAATTGACATTCATGTTTACACTTTCTTTCCACGGGCAGGATCTCCAGGTCCTTCTGCTTCGCAATAATGCCTGTAAAAATGTCCAAAGAAAACTACAATAAAGGACTCAAACAACCCAACTATGTGTTCAAACTTAATACTACATAGCACAAAATCAATAATCATCAATAATGATTTTGAGTGCAGTCCGCTCCAAGAGGAAGGAGAAGAATCCGAGAGGGAGATTGTCCACCTGCATATGAGTCTGAGCTGTTTGAAAAACATGACAGTTTCCCAGTGGATGGAGTGGATGGTTTATCTTTGAACGGTTCCAAAACACTTTCCATGTATGTGTTTTTATTTTGTTTTTTCTCTCTTTTATCCAGTCAAAAGTCTATGGACAACTTTCAGATAAACATTTATCAAAATACAGTGCAAAGAGTAAGTGAATTGAAACATCTATAACATATGTACTAACTTGCATTGTTTTCATCTCATAATGTCAATAAACTGCAGCTGCAAATAATCCGAAGCTGTAAAGATGACAATATTATAAAAGGAATTTAAATATGGATAGAAACATTTAAAAAACACATTTAAAGTGACATGCAACAAAGCTCATCATTGTTCTCTACAAATGCATCTTTTATTATAGTTCAGGGATCTCAATAAGCTAATGAGAGGGAAGAGAAATGTTCAGAGGAAATGGAAGCTCATTTGTTTTCACCCCTGGCTTTTCCACTCCATTAGCACGGCTCATTTTTTTCTGCACAGGCTTTAAAAGCCGACTGGTATGAAGCTTAGACAAACTGACAGTGCTTGAAAAATTGCCTTTTAGAAAAATATCCATCAGAGTACTTAGAAGAAACCTGATGATAGCAAGTTCATTAAAGTTTTTTTATATTGAATTATTGATTGTAACATATTTATTCTCTAATGATTAAAATTAAGAATATGCCAGTCATTATACACCAGAAAAAAATCTATTTCCATCATAGCAGTAATGGATTTTTGTGTAATTTATCTCAGTGTGGTATTTGATACAGCTGATTATAACATTTTATTTCATAGACTGGAAAAAGATGCAAGGACAAACCTTCCTGTTGCTACGGACTCAGAACTGAATGTTAAGCACATAAACTGCAGTTGTCATCCTCCTCTGCTTCATCCGGGATCATGTCCTGCAGGCAGCAGTCTCATGCTCGGGTTCCACTGAAAGCGTAAGCGCTGCGGACTCTGCCAAGCACCCAATCCAATGGAAGTGTTTCAGCGCCTCAGAGCAGTTGGACTCAGTATATACAAGTAAGCTTTAAATAGAACAATAAAGCGGTAATTTGGTCAGAATAACCGTTGTCTGCTCTTTATCTGGTCAACTTACCCTTCAGCCAGTTCCTTTTTTTATTTTCTGGTGTTATCTTTATAAAACAGATGGGTTGTGTTATATAAAATATATTTTTCTCCTTCAAAATAAAAGTTTTGTGATCCATGGTGTCCAATTAAATGGGATTCTCCTGTGGCTCTTTGCTGAAATCGCAGGTAATGTTGTTTTGATGTTTTAGAATAAAGTTTGATGGACAGTCTGCACATGCAGTGTTTAACTTTGAAACTCCAATGGATCAACTTTGCTGATAAGCCACTGACTTCCTGTCTGAACGCTCTGCTCTATTCCAAGGTCTTGAAGCGTTGTGAAAAATAGAACAGCAGACCATGTTTCTGGGATGCTTCAAGGATGCTCCGTGTCCCACCAACCGGGACAGCGGGGTCTGGACGTTCCGAGAACGCGTTCGGTGGAACCCCAGGGTCATTAGGGACTCCCAGACTTGCCTCACCCCAGACACCTACTACAGCTCCTCTAATGGAAACAGGGCGGGGTCCACCCTGGACAGGTCGCCAGTCCATCGCAGGGCAACACAGAGACAAACAACCATGGAGAATCCAGAGAAGCCAATAAACCTGACAGTCATGTTTTTGGACTGTGGGAGGAGTACCCGGAGAGAACACATGCATGCTCAGGGAGAACGTGAGACAGACCTCGGGCTGGGAATCGAACCTGAAAGCTTCTTGCTGCAAGGCAGCAGTGCTACCCACTGTTACACAATTATCATTCTTTATTACTCCAGTAGAAGTATAAATCCTGCTGTTTAAACACGTTTTTGTAGAAGTTAGAGGATCAACTTCATCTTTTCACTCCAGTAAAAGTGTAAAAGTACAATTTTTAAAACTACTTAAACTATAAAAGTAAAAATAATGCAGGAAAATATTAAGGCAAGAAGCTTTACTGCTCTACCCTATTAAAGGAAAATTTTTTCTACTATTGACACAAAATAAGTTCTTTGTTTTTATTATTTCATTATAGTCTTTAAAGTCGTAGGGAAATCATCCAGCCAGTTAGTTCTACGTCAGCCTGAACACCTAAATTCGGCCAATCATATATCAACGCTCATCTGTCAATCTCATTTTTTCGGTCATAGCATCTTGATTCATATGTCACAGCTAATATACTCAACGGTTAAAAATAATAAATCAGAATCCTTTCCTTTCCCATTGAGTTGCGTCCCAGTGTTCACGGGGATGGACGTCTGTGTCTTCAGCAGGCGTAGAGCTAATAGAACTGGCAGCGTTGCGAGGCAAGGGCTCAAACATGTACGGCTGGAAGCCTTCTACACCAAACCAAGCTTCTGCCGCCCTGGCGTCCTCTTCCACAACATCTTCGTCCCCGCTTTCCTCCTCTAAATAAAAAATGGATGACGGAGGAGACTCATCCACGACCTCCGACACTAAACTCTTCTCCTCTTGCATGTCTCCGCTGTCCATAGCGTTCCTTGACAGCGTCGTTTCTAAGTCACCAATTTAGTGCTACTTGGGGCAAACCGTTACCTGCTTCATTATCTATCTATAGCTGACTTTAACAGTTAAGAAACCAAGACGAGTGTTTTTAAAGTTGATTAGACAGCTGATGATTTAAGGTGATTTTATTTAATCTACAATATTTCAGACTCAGACAGGAAGTCTGGCTTTCTGGGCTATCAGCAGCAGGAACTTCTCTTTGTTTCTGCTAAAAAAAAAACATTCCCTTGGACCTATGAAAATTAAAGTAGATATTTAACTTTACTTTATATAACGAAGAATTTCACTATTCATCCAGATCATAGATTTATTTTTATGGGACGGTTAAAATTGTTCTTGTTAGGTAAATGCCAAGATATTAATAGAAAGAATTATATAACAATTGATATAAACTGGGAAGTTTATATTAATTTTCTTAGGGTTTGATAAGATTTCTTTTTGAATTGTCTTACCAGGACAGAAAGATTGGATCTTCTACTCGCCGCAAAAATGATCTGAAAATGAATAAAAAAATCTTAAAATAAGTGACTTTACCCTTAATTTAAGAGGGTAAATACGATGATCTGCCAATAGAAGGAGTATGTTTAGCTTTAGAATAAGATAATTAGATATTATGGACTTGATATAAAAGGCTGCAGTTGTTGCTTTTTTCTTATTTCAAGTGTTGATTGTCTTTTTCCATTGGTAAAAAGTCACACTTACCTGCTCAATTCAAAAGGAAATGCACTTGACTTAAATAGAATTTTTTTATTATTATTTGCAGTGCAAGCTTGACTCACTACATGCTGATAAACTGGGGATCTATAAAGGAAGCCTGACTGAATGTTAACCTGAAAAAAATGAACGAATGAATAGGAGTTTATCTCAGACATTTTTTGACAAACAACAAAAATGAATCAACCAAATAAACACAAAAGAGACTAGTTGGCATCAACCAAACCAAACACCAATTTCCAAACTAACTAAATTCACCTGAACAGAAATAGAATTAAAACCCTCCAGCAAATTAACCTGTCAGTATAAAGAGCCAGAGAAATGATTATTGGAACTTGTCTGAAAAGGGGGATAAAGAAGTTATAAAACTTATTATTCACACCCAGAGGTGTCAAGTAACAAAGTACAAATACTTTGTTACTGTACTTAAGTACAATTTTTAGATATCCATACTTCTACTTCTATTCATTACATTTTCACACAAGTATCTGAACTTTCTATTCCTTACATTTTTAAAGCAAACGTTACTCGTTAGTCTTGGCTTTGGTTTAATGTTTATAAATGTATATTTCCCGTCATGTGCTCCATCCAATGCAGATCATTGGCTCCATCCACATCTAGTGAAAATTAGTGTAATTAGATGAGTCATATAAGGCAAACACTCATTGGTTAGCTAAAGGAAATCATCAGAAGCAAGCAGGTGTTCTTCAAGCTGCTCTATACTCCAGAATCCGACATTGCAGCATGTCGGATTCAGAAAATGAAGTTGAAATGTCTGAAAGACCTCCCTCATCCTTGGCCCTATCTCAAAGAATTTTTCAAAATAGTCAAAAATTTAACTTTCAGTTCATATACAGGCTTTACTTTATACTTTAAGTAGTTTTTGGAGCTCATACTTTTTCACTTTTACTTGAGTAAAGAGGTCAAGTTGATACTTCAACTTTTACCAGAATGTTTTTAAACTGCAGTATCTATACTTCTACTTAAGTAACAAATCTGGGTACTTTCGACACCCCTGTTTATACCCCCCTCTTCCCTCTAATTGCACTTGAATTAACTTAAAGTACAGAAAAAATCCTGTTAAACTTATTTTTTATCCAATATTCGCACAAAAATATATATGTGTATATAGATAGATAGATAGATAGATAGATAGATAGATAGATAGATAGATAGATAGATAGATAGATAGATAGATAGATGTAAATAAATTTCCAGGATTGCAATGTTCCTGTTTGTACTGAAGAGGGCAGCAGCGCGCTTGCGCTGAGTTAGACCAGATCGAACATGAAGAAGAAGTAAAGCAACCAAAACAAAACAGTGAGAAGGAGAGCTGACCCAGGCTGAACCGATGAATGTTTCCTCACTGACACTGGAAGACTAGATCCCGGCATCCATGGTTTCATTTGGCTGATTTATTTAAAGTAATATTTCAATATAAGAGCTGCTGTGTTCAGGTAAGCATTCTGTTTAATCCAATAAGCTGTTTATAGTGACAGACAGTGAATTAGCCGCTAAAGCTGCTCAGATAATGACCTCATGATGTGTTTAGTGACAGGATTGCTGTGTTTTTATTACATATAACATCGTCAGTGTTGGAAACGTCTGTTTTTACTGCTCTGCTTTAGCGCTGCTAGCTAACATTAGCTTCTATGACGTAGTTAGCTCTTAGAACCACATTTCTTTCTTTTTGCTTTTTTAGTAATTGAATTATGAAAACAAACATTAATAATAAAGTAAATAGTTTCCAAACATAGAAATGGCCGCTGGATAATATAGTTAAATGCGACTGTAATAACTTTGATTCTAACTAACCCTAACATAGTGATCCATTAACCTCACAAACATTAAACAGTTTACATTGTAATTCTAATAAGTAGATAAGGTGGAGATTTATCAGTCAGCTTACATGACTGTTCAAAGTCCAGATCAGCTATAAAGTCAAGATGGGGGAGTGCTTTATTACTTTGATCTGTGGAGGACAGGATTCAGAGAGCATTTAGTCAGGATTCAATCAGCATTCAGACAGGATTCAATCAGCATTCAGACAGGATTCAATCAGCATTCAGTAAGGATTCAATCAGCATTCAGACAGGGTTCAATCAGCATTCAGTCAGGATTCAGTCAGGATTCAATCAGCATTCAGTCAGGATTCAATCAGCATTCAGTCAGGATTCAATCAGCATTCAGACAGGATTCAATCAGCATTCAGTCAGGATTCAATCAACTTTCAGTTAGGATTCAATCAGCATTCAGACAGGATTCAATCAGCATTCAGTCAGGATTCAATCAGCATTCAGACAGGATTCAATCAGCATTCAGACAGGATTCAATCAGCATTCAGACAGGATTAAATCAGCATTCAGTCAGGATTCAGTCAGGATTCAATCAGCATTCAGTCAGGATTCAGAGAGCATTCAGTCAGGATTCAGAGAGCATTCAGTCAGGATTCAGAGAGCATTCAGTCAGGATTCAATCAGCATTGAGTCAGGATTCAGAGAGCATTCCGTCAGGATTCAATCAGCATTCAGACAGGATTCAATCAGCATTGAGTCAGGATTCAGAGAGCATTCAGTCAGGATTCAATCAGGATTCAATCAGCATTCAGTCAGGATTCAGAGAGCATTCAGTCAGGATTCAGAGAGCATTCAGTCAGGATTCAATCAGCATTGAGTCAGGATTCAGAGAGCATTCAGTCAGGATTCAATCAGCATTCAGTCAGGGTTCAATCAGCATTCAGACAGGATTCAATCAGCATTCAGACAGGATTCAATCAGCATTTAGTCAGGATTCAATCAGCATTCAGACAGGATTCAATCAGCATTCAGACAGGATTCAATCAGCATTTAGTCAGGATTCAATCAGCATTCAGACAGGATTCAATCAGCATTCAGACAGGATTCAATCAGCATTTAGTCAGGATTCAATCAGCATTCAGACAGGATTCAATCAGCATTCAGTCAGGATACAGAGAGCATTCAGTCAGGATTCAATCAGCATTCAGTCAGGATTCAATCACTATTCAGACAGGATTCAATCAGCATTCAGTCAGGATTCAATCAGCATTCAGTCAGGATTCAGAGAGCATTCAGTCAGGATTCAGAGAGCATTCAGTCAGGATTCAATCAGCATTGAGTCAGGATTCAGAGAGCATTCAGTCAGGATTCAATCAGCATTCAGTCAGGGTTCAATCAGCATTCAGACAGGATTCAATCAGCATTCAGACAGGATTCAATCAGCATTTAGTCAGGATTCAATCAGCATTCAGACAGGATTCAATCAGCATTCAGACAGGATTCAATCAGCATTTAGTCAGGATTCAATCAGCATTCAGATAGGATTCAATCAGCATTCAGACAGGATTCAATCAGCATTTAGTCAGGATTCAATCAGCATTCAGACAGGATTCAATCAGCATTCAGTCAGGATACAGAGAGCATTCAGTCAGGATTCAATCAGCATTCAGTCAGGATTCAATCACTATTCAGACAGGATTCAATCAGCATTCAGTCAGGATTCAATCAGCATTCAGACAGGATTCAATCAGCATTCAGACAGGATTCAATCAGCATTCAGTCAGGATTCAATCAGCATTCAGTCAGGATTCAGAGAGCATTCAGTCAGGATTCAGAGAGCATTCAGTCAGGATTCAATCAGCATTCAGTCAGGGTTCAATCAGCATTCAGTCAGTGTTCAATCAGCATTCAGTCAGGATTCAATCAGCATTCAGTCAGGGTTCAATCAGCATTCAGTCAGGGTTCAATCAGCATTTAGTCAGGGTTCAATCAGCATTCAGTCAGGATTCAGAGAGCATTCAGTCAGGATTCAGAGAGCATTCAGTCAGGGTTCAATCAGCATTCAGTCAGGATTCAATCTGCATTCAGTAGGGCTGGGCGATATAGAAAAAAAGCTTATCGATAAAAAAAATGCATATTGATCGATTTCGATAATTATTAAGAAGATTTGAAACCATATTTTATGTGCAGCTCTGCCTGGACATTTTATGATATTGCTAAATGATTTAATTTTAATAAAGAACACAAACACAGACTTCCAATTAAATCTTTATTTAACCAACTTTTTTAACCATAACAGAATTGTTTTAAAGAAAAATAACTTAAGAGACCTGAGTTATGTTATTAAATACTGACAAAGAATAAACTAAAGTGACCAGAAAAGTGACCAAAAAATATATAACAAATAAATGGAACATGGAGCATTCAGTCTGGATTCAGAGAGCATTCAGTCAAGATTCGATCAGCATTCAGTCGGGATTCAGAGAGCATTCAGTCAGGATTCAATCAGCATTCAGTCAGGGTTCAATCAGTATTCAGTCAGGATTCAGAGAGCTTTCAGTCAGGATTCAATCAGCATTCAGTCGGGATTCAGAGAGCATTCAGTCAGGATTCAATCAGCATTCAGTCAGGGTTCAATCAGCATTCAGTCAGGATTCAGAGAGCATTCAGTCAGGATTCAATCAGCATTCAGTCAGGATTCCATCAGCATTCAGTCAGGGTTCAATCAGTATTCAGTCAGGATTCAGAGAGCATTCAGTCAGGATTCAATCAGCATTCAGTCGGGATTCAGAGAGCATTCAGTCAGGATTCAATCAGCATTCAGTCAGGGTTCAATCAGCATTCAGTCAGGATTCAGAGAGTATTCAATCAGGATTCAATCAGCATTCAGTAAGGATTCAATCAGCATTCAGTCGGGATTCAATCAGCATTCAATCAGGATTCAATCAGCATTCAGTCAGGATACAGAGAGCATTCAGTCAGGATTCAATCAGCATTCAGTCAGGATTCAATCAGCATTCAGTCAGGATATAATCAGCATTCTATGATCGATCTATGAAGCTTTACTTTCCGTTATGCCGAGAACTGAAACCAGTCCTACAGCTCATGGAAGGACAGCAGAACACATTTGGTCCTCTGTGGACAAACTCTAGTTAATCAGCAGAAAAATGACCAGCATTCACAAGCACACAAGATATGCACAATTAAAACAATAGTTACAATGGAACGAAGCTGTAAATACTACAGAAATACATGGTGATGAGTGGGGGCCATTGATATGATGAAGAAACATGTTAATATCAAGTGATATTGTTCCAATTATTATCAACTATAATGTGTAAATATGTATCTATTCAATTCAGTGCAGCTCTCATTCACATCGAGTTATTCTAATAGGAGTGCTTTGTGCTTTTCAAACATTCAGCTTTTCAACATTCACAGTGTTGCACAGGAGCTTTAATCTGAGCAGAAGAGCTGCTATTGATGCCTCTATGAGCCATAATCATGTCCACCTCCTCCATCAAGTGCTTATAAGTAGCTGCAACATCTGTCAAATATGTGTAAAGAGCAGTAACACTGATTAGATACTGTTAAAATAAATGACATTTATGAGCAATTGTTGAGGAATATGGTTAAAATCTCGGTTTTAAAATAGCACTTCATGATCACGGTTTAGAGATTTTGTTGTTGGAGCCGCAGGCAGACGAAATCACCATGATCTTTTTTTTATCTATTTCAACCTAAGAAATCAGTGATGCATTTATTTCCATTTGCATTTATGTTTCCTTCTTATATTGTGTTAGGGCTTAAACAATGAATCGGATTAATTGTTAACTGGGTATAGAGACTAAAACATGCCTTTAGCTGACAGATTTACCCACATAGAGCAGGGATTACATGAAAATTCAAAAAATATATAAAAATATATAAACATTGGTCCGACCGTTGGTCAGGTAACTCCTCCTACACTTCGTAGACACTTTTTCTCTTCCGACCCTCGGCCATTTTAAAAGAACCGCTGAAAGGTGAGCTTTAATGACTGAAACTGTAGCTCACCATATATACGCCTGAAAGTGCGCAGAAAAAGATGGCTAACGGAACAAGCACATAAACATATCACTAGAATGATTGACATTTAGGAGGACCATTTATTGAAATGATCCACCTGGAAATAAAAGATCATCCTCTATACTAGGGATGCACGATATAATCGGCCCCCTATCGGTATCGGCCTTAAAACTGAATATCGGACATCGGCCACCCCACCGATATTTAACCCGATATTTGATCAGCTTCTGAGTTTCTGAAGTCTTCTTCTTCCTCAAAAACTTCTTTTTTACAAACTTAAAAACTTCTAAAGACGAGGCAAAAAAAATTGATCCATTAAAATATCCCAATATCTTCATATTGCGATATATTGCCATTTAAAAACACCATATCAATCTCTTTTACTAATGAAATATTGCTATATGTCATCGTTATGCTACGAAATCCCCCGAAAATTCCCCAAATGTTGCCATATTTTTATATGTTGATATATTGACGCGGTATCAATCTATTTTACTAACAAAATCTCACAAGAATTTGCAAAATATCACGAGAGTTTGTAACAGAACAATGAAATTTCACCAGATTTTGAAAGTAAAATAGATCGATACCGCGTTTTTAAAAATCAATTTGATATCAGCATATGAAAATATATTTGAGTAAATTATTTTTCAAAGTGTCAGAAATGGATAACAAAACTGCTATTTTCAATGACTACTTATTTTTGTCCAGCTTTAACATCGGTATCGATATCGGTTATCGGCTACATGAGTTTTAAAATATCGGCATATCGGATATCAGCCAAAATCCCTCCTCTATACCCTTAAGGAAACTGTTGATATCCAATTATTAATGAAAAAGTATTACCTGTTAGTTGTAGTCAGTCATAAAACACACAAGTTAATAAGTTATTTTTTATCTTTGAAGTCAAAAGTATGCATCCCCATGTTCATAACACATAACAGCAGTTAAAACCCAGACGACATGAGGATGCAGGCCATGAGCAGAACTGGTTTCTGTGGATTTCTACGATCGGCCTTTGGAACGGATTGATTGACGATTGACTTTACTTTATTGATCTCAGAGTGGAGAAATTTACTTCTGCTCAAATATTCAGAGGAGAAGAAGAATGTGCCAAAGGAGGAAAAAGGAGCATGGGATATATACAGTATATACACCTGTTCTTTGTATCGTCATTATTCCAGATATTTCATTATAAACAGGGACCTATTCTCACCTGCTGAGTCTGATCTTTCCTTTGGTGAGCTTTTGACATGAGATGCACTGAAACACATGGAAATAGCTCCTCCCTTCAACTTCCACCTCCCTCTGTAAAATATAAGGCCTTATGACGTAACTTGTTTCCACTTCAACCCACCTGCTCTGTAAGAATGAAGCATGAGGCTGTGCAGGTGAGCTTGGAGGTGCAAACTTTGAAGGGATACGATTAGGGCTGAAACAGTGGGATTAATGGATTATTTAAATAATCAAAATTGTGGATTAATCGTTAACTAGAATATAGATGCTGTAAAACATGCCTTTAGCTGACAGAGTAACCCACTTAAAGCAGGAATTAGATGAAAATTATAGAAAATATACACCACCGTTCAAAAGTTTGGGGTCACCCAAACAATTTTGTGTTTTCCTGAAAAGTCTGACTTATTCACCACCATACGTTGTGAAATGAATAGAAAATAGAGCCAAGACATTGACAAGGTTAGAAATAATGAAATTTGTATTTAAAATGTAAAGAAAGTTTTTACATCAAACTTTGCTTTGGTCATAGAATCCTCCGTTTGCAGCAATTCCAGCATTGCAGACCTTTGGCATTCTAGCTGTTAATTTGTTGAGGTAATCTGGAGAAATTGCCCCCCACGCTTCCAGAAGCAGCTCCCACCAGTTGGATTGGTTGGATGGGCACTTCTAGTGTCCCATACGGTCACGCTGCTCCACAGCAGCTCAACGGGGTTCAGATCTGGTGACTGCGCTGGCCACTCCATTACCCATAGAATACCAGCTGCCTGCTTCTGCTCTAAATAGTTCTGCACAATTTGGAGGTGTGTGTAGGGTCATTGTCCTGTTGTAGGATGAAACTGGCTCCAATCAAGCGCTGTATACTGGGTACGGCATGGCGTTGCAAAATGGAGTGATAGCCTTCCTTATTCAGAATCCCTTTTACCCTGTACAAATCTCCCACCTTACCAGCACCAAAGCAACCCCAGACCATCACATTACCTCCACCGTGCTTAACAGATGGCGTCAGGCATTCTTCCAACATCTTTTCATTTGTTCTGCGTCTCACAAACGTTCTTCTTTGTGATCCAAACACCTCAAACTTGGATTCATCCGTCCACAACACTTTGTTCCAGTCTTCCTCTGTCCAATGTCTGTGTTCTTTTGCCCATCCTAATCTTTTTCTTTTATTGGCCAGTCTCAGATATGGCTTTTTCTTTGCCACTCTGCCCTGAAGCCCAGAATCCTGCAGCCGCCTCTTCAATGTAGATGTTGACACTGGTGTTTTGCGGGTACTATTTAATGAAGATGCCAGTTGGGGACCTGTGAGGCGTCTGTTTCTCAAACTAGAGACTCTAATGTACTTATCTTCTTGCTCAGTTGTGCAACGCGGCCTCCCACTTCTTTTTCTACTCTGGTTAGAGCCTGTTTGTGCTGTCCTCTGAAGGGAGTAGTACACACCGTTGTAGGAAATCTTCAATTTCTTAGCAATTTCTCGCATGGAATAGCCTTCATTTCTAAGAACAAGAATAGACTGTGGAGTTTCAGATGAAAGTTCTCTTTTTCTGGCCATTTTGAGCGTTTAATTGACCCCACAAATGTGATGCTCCAGAAACTCAATCTGCTCAAAGGAAGGTCAGTTTTGTAGCTTCTGTAACGAGCTAAACTGTTTTCAGATGTGTGAACATGATTGCACAAGGGTTTTCTAATCATCAATTAGCCTTCTGAGCCAATGAGCAAACACATTGTACCATTAGAACACTGGAGTGATAGTTGCTGGAAATGGGCCTCTATACACCTATGTAGATATTGCACCAAAAACCAGACATTTGCAGCTAGAATAGTCATTTACCACATTAGCAATGTATAGAGTGTATTTCTTTAAAGTTAAGACTAGTTTAAAGTTATCTTCATTGAAAAGTACAGTGCTTTTCCTTCAAAAATAAGGACATTTCAATGTGACTTTTGAACGGTAGCGTATATAAACATTTTGCAGTTTAGATGAAGAAAAAAAAATTCCGTCCGTCATTTTACGCCATTGTGGGACAATAAAGGTATTTTTTTCTATTGCCTAACCTTTTCTATTCTAATCTGCTCTATCCAGAACTCTAGAACATTTGTTAGAGGTATGCAAGTGATCAGAAACAGTAACTTGCCCCATAAAGGGCTTTAGGGAACCTTTGGCTATCCGATTGTTAATTGCAAAAATAATCTACAGATTAATTGATTTGCAAAATAATCGTTAGTCACAGCCCTTAATACAGTCTCCCTCTTTCTATTGCATGTAGGTAATTTTTATTATTATGTTTTTATCAATCAGTCATTTGAGAACCTGAATCGCCTCAAAGCTCAGCTCTGTAATACAGCCTGGATTTTAGTCTCCACTGTTAATCATTGATTCCTTCTTGATCTTTTCCTCTCCAGCAGAGACCATGGGGATTTCTGTGTCCCTCACCTCCAAGCAAACTCCCCTCATTAACGAGGACACCTTGTCTTCTCCTGTGGAGGACGGACAGACGGAGGCAGGCAGGGTGTCTGACGTCTCCCAGTTTCCCTACGTGGAATTCACTGGAAGAGACAGCGTGACGTGTGCGACGTGTCAGGGAACCGGCAGGATCCCCAGAGGTAACCCCAAAGCTATTTCAACCTGTGGCCACATCTACGAAAAATGCCCGTAGTTACAGGTTGCTTCCTGTTTTCCAGGACAGGAAAATCAGCTGGTTGCGTTGATCCCATACAGCGATCAGAGACTGCGGCCCAGAAGGACGTAAGTTCTCCCCTCCGTTGGTGTTTCTAATCTGAAGTTTGTTAGAACAGAAAAAACTGAAAGAAACTGAAACTGATGAAAATGCAGTGGATGCTGGCGACCCAATAAAACTCTGTTTATATTTATTATTAATACAACTATTCCTCATTTGTGCACATTAATTATATTTTTTAATAAAAATCCTTTGGCTAAAATGCCATCAGAACGCTGATAATATTTCAGTGTCCACCATATTGGATCAGTCCATTTGCTGCACATGTTCAGAAAGGTCCAAACAGACAGCAGCAAACCATTTGAAAACAAACCATGCAAAGAGCAGTGTTGCCAACTTAGCGCTTTTATTGGAAAATACTCAACTTTTAGTGCAAACTGTTCCCACCGTGACTTAACAAACAAGTCCGTCCGTTAGCCACGCCCACTTCACATTTAAAGCCACATATGGAGTTAAAGAATTCCAGCTATCTGTGGAAATATCTGCTACTGAATGAGGAACAGAAGAAATCATTTGGATCCAGATCTTTTCAGCAGAACCTGAATGTTCCTGAATGTTTCTGAAGTTCTGTGTCATTTGGCTAAATAAAAACTTCACTGCATCCAGGATTTTCCATTTCTTTCTATATATTCTGATCATACATTTAAAGAAGGAAATATGAGGATCTACTCAGGAGGATTGTGGCTTCATTCACCAAATGAACTTAAAGGAATAGTACACCCAAAACATGATTAGCCTTCATTTTCTACTCAACCCCATGCTGAACAACACTCTGGAGTACTTTTTTGATATCTCAAATGCATCTGGAGATCTGGGAGGCTTCTTGCTGTCTGCTGACATTCAAATAATGGAGGTCTATGGCGCCCGAGGCAGAAAGGTCCAAAAAGTCCACAAAAAACGTGTCAATATTCCTCCATACTGCTCGTCCAATGTATTCCAAGTGTCCTGAGTGGGTAGAATCCAGAATTTACTCGAAATGAAGTCATTTAGAATGTTTTTAGAGCATAAACAGTAGTGTATAGGATTTCCTAAAAGCGTGTTCACAAGTCTACGGAAACCGCGGCAGACCAAACCAGATGAAAGTGCGCATTCAGCTCGGCAAAGAACTCATGCTCTTCCTCAACACTGAAGTCCTCAGACATTTTTCTTTCGTTGTTTCTTTCTTTGCACAGGTAAACAGCACATTTCTTCTTCTACGCTTGCATTATTGGCAGAGCAGACGCTGAATGCGCACTTTCATCTGGTTTGGTCTGCCCCGGTTTCCGTAGACTCGTGAACGCGCTTTCAGGAAATCCTATACACTACTGTTTATGCTCTAAAAACATTCTAAATGACTTCGTTTCGAGTAAATTCTGGACGCTACCCACTCAGGACACTTGGAATACATTGGACGAGCAGTATGGAGGAATATTGACACGTTTTTTGTGGACTTTTATGGACCTTTCTGTCTCGGGCACCATAGACCTCCATTATTTGAATGTCAGCAGACAGCAAGAAGCCTCCCAGATCTCCAGATGCATTTGAGATATCAAAAAAGTACTCCAGAGTGTTGTTCAGCATGGGGGTGAGTAGAAAATGAAGGCTAATCATGTTTTGGGTGTACTATTCCTTTAACCTGGTTCATTTATAGGTTGGTGAATTTAGTTCATTTTTGAAAAAATGAACTATGAACGTGAGCATTTTTTAGCTCCTTCTTTTTAACTACTGGCACAACATTGGATCTTATCTTAGAATATTATGGGACGTGCTGCAGAAAGTGGACCTGCTGTCCCACTCATTGATAACCTCGTCCTGATCGCCAACAGAACCTGGGAGGTTCTCCTATGTTCAGAAGGACCGTGAACTGGCCTCTCCTGATGCATGGAGAGGCAGTGGGGTGTGTTGATATCATCAGGTTCTTTGGTTTCCATATCTCCTCTAAATTATACCCAGAGCCCTTTGGTCTGCAGTCATTAACACCAAGGTGCCGGTTAGCCAATGACCAGCAATGCAAAGAAGCCTTTATTTCAATGACTGAGTCATGGTTCATTTTTTCTTTCTCAGGAAGTTGTATGTATCTGTATCCGTGGCGCTCTGCCTGTTGGTATGCGGTCTGGCAGTTTTCTTCCTCTTCCCTCGCTCCATTGATGTAACCTATGTTGGGGTGAAGTCAGTTTCTGTCAGCTATGACCAAGAGGGGCACAGAGTCTATCTCAACATCACGGTGAGTTTGGTTTGCTCCTCTTTCCTTCATAGTAACATTATGGTGCAACCGGGCTTTACGGTATCCTAGGTAACCCAGGAAAATCAGACCCTCAGCCTAAAACATGGAATGAAGTGTTAGACTGCCTCATATTTTCTCATTTGTTCATTGGATTCTCAAGGTATTCAAATTGAATTCATTTTTTTCTATTATGCTATTTCACAACACACAAGAGGAGCTTAGAAAGACTGATCTGTAAAAACCTTCTGTTAGTGAATAGGGGTGTGCAAAATAATCGTCATGACGATGCATCACGATTCTAATTTTTGTGATCTACTGCATCGACTCTTGATGCCAAGTATCGATTCTTAATTAGCAAAAAGGAATAAATAAAATACATGAATGGTTGGCGCACATCAGCCAAAAGCAAGTGGAATACAACTTCCAGTCCAGCAGATGTCGCTGCGGATGCTGCGATGAGTCGTTCATAAACAAAACATGGAGGAGACTGAGAAAATTCGCCCCGCAGCTCCATCACATTCCAAGTCAGATGTTTGGATGCATTTTGGCTTTAAAAACAAAGAATGTAAAAACGAAATTGGTATAACGCACGTAATTTGCGAAAGGGGAAATGTCAAACGTTTGAATGTTTCCATTTTATTGGTTTAAAGGACCACTGAGGCCATGTAAACAGCACTGTTATTTTAAGTTTTAGAAATCCAAAGCACTTTTTGTCGGTGTGTCCACTCCAGTAATCGGTCTCCGCCAAGTGACGTCAATTGTTTACCTCGGGCGCGGTACACTACGCCTTTTCCACCTAAAATGGCGTCTTAGCAACAAAAGTCACGTGACTGGCGGAGACCGATTTTCCTAAATCCGCCCCTGTTTTCAGGCTTATGTTAACTGTAATGACTTATCTTGGGCAGGCTGCTATGTAAACGGGCCTTTAGTCCTTCCTTTAGCTATGCTGCGGTTGTTTACACTACGCATTTTCCACCTAAAATGGCGTCTTAGCAACAAATGTCACTTGACTGGCGGAGACCGATAGTAATATTTGTGTCCAGTATTTGTTTTCATGGCAACACCTTCGATAGTTGTTTCAATAAATCCAGCTATGTATGAATTCAGTTGCTTTCAGTTATGTATCAATTGAAGACACGATCCAGATCACACCCAGCCAGTCAGCCACTGGTAAGGGCTGTATCTTTTTCTTACAGTGTTCAGTGAAAATATTGCGATGCATCGCGTTGCATCGCAGTATTTCAAGTATCGTGATGCATCGTGATAGAATCGCATCGTGGCATGTAAATCGTGATTGGAATCGAATTGTGACTTGTTTGGCAATACCCACCCCTATTAGTGAAATTACAGTTGCAGCCATTCAATATCCCCTCCATCTTCCAGCCACTGGAGTGAGCCCCTCTTGAATATTTGTTTCAAGGTGTTGATTTATTGTATATCTCTTGTATATGTCGGTTGTGCTGTTCTTTTTTCATCTCGTTACAGGTGATGAAGCAGACTGAAAATGTTTTGTCATTGTCTCCTTTCTATCTCTTCTTTCTTTCATCTTTTCTCTTTTTTTTCTTTTTTCCTTTTTCTTCTTCTGTTTTTCTGCTCTATTTACATTGCAGTGTCCATATAAACTGTAAAACTCCCTGCATAATTATAATAAAGCAATTTATATGCATGAAACAAGTGGAGCAGTATGGCAATTGCCATACTGCTCCACTTGTGAAAGTAAAATCTGTTGGGCTCTTTTTGGCATCAAGACAATTATTCTTATTGCCACATTGCCAGACAGGAGACTGTTATTAAAAAAAAAAAAAAAAAAGAATATTTGTTTTAGTTGACTCCACCCTTTCACTGAATTATAGGGTCTGACCAGGAGATGGCGCTTCACTTTAGATCTTAAAGTCCACAAATCATGACAGAAAGAATATTTTAGTACAAAGATCTTTAAAAATGAATTTTAGAGGACCGGCCAAGTAAGTGGGGAAATTTTGAATGGCTACCACTGTAACAGTAAGCTAGTGCCATAAATGTATGTGAAAAAGGGGTCCCTATGTCCTCCAGCAGCATAAGCCTATAGCAGCAGAACTATAGAGATAGCTCAGGATAACCTGAGCCACTCTAACTAGAAGCTTTATCAAAAAGGAAAGTTTTAAGCCTAGCCTTAAAAGTAGACAGGGTGTCTGCCTCACGGACTAAAACTGGTAGTTGGTTCCACAGGAGAGGAGCCTGAGAACTAAAAGATCTGCCTCCCATTCTACTTTTAGAAATTCTAGGAACCACTAGTAAACCTGCAGATTGAGAGCGAAGTGCTCTGTTAGGAACATAAGGAACAATCAGATCTCTGATATCAGATGGAGCTTGGCCATTTAAGGCTTTATATGTGAGAAGAAGGGTTTTAAATTAGAATAAGAAGCTTCCAGTTTTATTTATCCAAGAATATGCAGGTCAAATATTTAGTGACAAATGTGAGCAGATTTTTTAGAAAGGGAAAAAATGTAGTAATGCTGATTTGCTTTTAAGCAAAGCAAAACTGCATTTCAAGTGAAGATAAGACGTCCATTTGAGACATGAGTGTCTGAGGTTGAGCTGAAGTGTGACTGAAAAGAACATCAGATAAAAAAAAAAAAATAGGTAGTTCATAGTTCACATTTTCAGAAGCAGTTTAGGATTTTAGCTTTGAGCAAACACTTTAACAGTAAACAGAGAGAAGAATAAGATCTGATTATGCAGCAGCTTTAACGCAGGGAACATCCGCTGATGTTTGTCTCCTGGTTTCCATACTTCCAGAACACTCTGAACATCACCAACAACAACTATTACTCTGTGGAGGTGGCCAACATCACAGCTCAGGTGCAGTTCGCCCGGCTGGTGATCGGTACATCTCGGATCAGCACCGTCATCGCCATAAGTCCTCTGGACGAGAAACAGGTGCTTCTCTATCAGCCTCTGTCTGTTGGTCTGCTGCCCGGGAAGATGCCTTTAGATCACCCGACTCTTTTTCTGTTTCCAGATCGATTACATGGTCCCCACTCGCATTGAAGATGAGTTGAGCTACCTGTAGTAAGTTGAAGTCAATGAAGATCTTTAGAGACATGTGCTGAGTTGGAGGTGTACGGATCTATGTGGCGGATTTAGTTTTCAATCCAGTATCTATCTGCCAATCATAAAGGAAAAAGCTTTGCCACAATATAGAATCGTTGAGTTTTGAGAAGATGATGAAAGAATGAGCACCAGGAAGCTTTTAATCATGAAAACAAGCGAGTGTTCCAGGCTAACTCTGTCCCTTTCTGTTTTCCAGTGAATACTGCACTCTGGAAACCATCAAGGTTCACAACCTCGTGGTCATGAGTCAGTAAGTCGACCCACGTTTCTGCAGCTCTACGCTCACTGGCCACTTTATCAGGTCCTTCTTGCTCCCCTGTTGGCTATTTGCCCTTAAACCGCTTGATTGTGCGATGATCCCGCTTCAAAAGCTTGGATATTTCCAAACTGCTGCTCCCCTCTGAGAGAAATCTGACCATTTTTGACTTTTCAGAATCTGTCAAATCTCTTTTCTGACCCATTTTGCCAAAGGAAAGGAAGTTGCCTAAGTGTGATGTCATTAGGCCACACCCCTTCTCATTACAGGGACGAACACCACCTGATTTACTTAATTGGTAGTTGGCTTTCAAGCCTGTACAGCTTGGAGTAGAACAACATGTATGAAAAGGATGATGTGGTGGAAATACTCATTTGCCTCATAATTTTGCACAAAGTGACTATAGGACCAGTTTGATGTAACACAATTTCATATAATATGTATAATAAGGGGGTCCCCGCTCCATCTCACCATCAGTTTGGGGGTCCTTGGCCTGGAAAACTTTTAAGACCCCTGATCTAAATTGATCTAGCATAAAGTCGGGAACTATCAGTTTTCAGTTTCATAAAAGCTGCTGTGAGTTAGTTCAATGAATTCTAAGTAGGTCAACTTAGAGTTTAACACGTGCGCAACAAGTATGCAAAGCCATTATCAGTGGAGGACGTTGTGACGAGTCACCATGACAACAAGCAACAGGAAGTCCCTATTTCAACCCACTGGATCTAGAGATTTTAATGCAGAAATGCAAAAAAATTAAATGAAAAATAAGAATGTATTCTGCAGACAGAGACACAGCGCCACGGCTGCATAGGAGAGGAAGATGGTGAAGGAGAAGATTGTTGCTTGAGTTAATGCTTTGGTTTATATGAAGAAGGCTGTTTTACATTTATTAGAAGCACTCCTCTTTGTTGTTCCATTTGTAGATCACTAAAATAAGATTCTCCCTGATCAAAATCACACTCTTAGACTGAACTGTAATAATGGATTTTCCAAATTTCATTTTTGTAGTGAAAATAATACAAATGCTGACCAGTAACATTAGGAATAAGGAATATCTGAAATGAATTGCTAGACATCCAGAATGTTTATTCTAGATGTGAAGAATGCCATTTCGATTGAAATGGTGATTTAGACAAGAAAAAAATGTTTTTTTGAGATATGCACGTTCAGTAAACTACAGATAAAACCGGCTTGCCATAGACTACTGTGATCACAATAACATTACGGGTTTATCTCTTAAATGGTAGTGGATCAATGTACCGTATTTATTTTCCCGACCATAAGGCGCACCGTACTAAAAGGTGCAGTCTCAGTTATGTGCGCCATTACTGTATTTAACACACACGTAAGGCACACCGGACTATAGGGCGCGGGTTTTATATACCGGTTCATGTCCTCTATTACGTTTAAATACCTGTACTGCGTATTTAAAAATAGAGCGGGAGCAAAACTGAGTATGATTGTGCTTTATTCATGTATTTATTAAGTATTAATCAAACCCATCAAAGTCATCATCCTCTGTTTCTGAATTAAACAGCTGCGCTAAATCAGACATGCCAGTTTCCCCTTCTTTGCTGTCAGAGTCACTTTCCGTGCCGGGCGGCTCCTCGGAAATGATGCCGGCTTTTGCGAAAACTCGAACAACAGAGCCAGCAGACACGTTAGCCCAAGCATCTACAATCTAACCGCAAACGGTGGCGTAACTTGCCCGGCGCTGCCTTCCACTTATCCTGAAACTGTGGTCTCCGTCGGTCATCAATCGCTCCCACGCCGCTCGCAGCCTTACTTTGAACGGCCGGTTCACACCGATGTCGAGCGGTGGAAGTTCCTTTGTCAGACCTCCTGGAATAACAGCGAGCACAGCGTTCATTTGTTTCACCATGTTTCTCACATCAGCTGTGAGATGGGCACGCATGGAGTCACTGATTAACAGCAAAAAAACACCTGGACTCCTTACATACACCTCACTCAGGCACGCTTTCATCATCTCATCCATCCAGCGTCTTTCCTCCAACTCGGGCCACCTCACCTTATGTCCGTGGAAACTTAGCTGTGTCTTCTTCACCTGTTAGAGTTCGTTTTCCATCTTCCTCTACTTGCGAACCATCGATTCATTAATCTTGAATTCTCTCGCGGCTTCTCGATTTCCATGTTCCTCTGTGTAGCTGATAGGCTTCAGTTTAAACTGTGCTTCATAGGTGTGTCTCTTTGCCATTTTCAGGGTTGTTAAGACCACAATGTTCTGCATAAAGCACATACCTGTTCTTTTATACACAATCCACGCCCACACTTCCCCCTTTAACGTTCTCATGGTGGTCTCAACAACGTCCGCAGTAACAACACACATAGGGCGCACCGCACATTTTGAGGGGAAAAAAAAGACGTTTATATGCGCCTTATAGTCGCCAAATATGGTACTATTTAGCTGAAATCACCTGTCAGCCAAAAATGAACTCTAAATCAATGTTCTAACAGATAGGACCTGTGCATCATCTCATGGGGTTCCTAGACATGTTGATTCTGTCTTCTTTTACACAGTAAATACTAAGTGGCTGTTTGCAGCTGCTTGGGATGTTATCATCCCAATAAATGGTCATCAGTCCCATAGAATGGCTTCAGATTTTGCCAGTAGGCTCAGTATTTTGTTATCATCGAGTGAATCCTAATCCTAAAGTCATTTGTTTTGTTTGCTGAATTAATTAATATAAGTGTAAACTGAAAAAAAAATAGTAGTTCTTCATGTGCTGTAAAAAATAAATAAAACTAAACTGATTCGCATGTCGCTCATATTAAACAAACCAAAAACAAAAAAATCTCCTGTCAGCTAAATTGTAACCTGACTCCGCCAGATGGATTTGCTCTGCATATCCATCTAGAAACCTTCCGTTGAAGTAATTTTGGGAAGGGGCGAAAATACTGGTTAGCTGATTGGCCTATGTTGGTGATAGACGGGCCAAATAAACCAATCAGATCAACGAAGCATATGACGTACTAACAGAGCGACGATGAAAACACAACCACAAGCCAGGCTACTCTTGCCGAAACCAGTCGGGAGAAGAGCAAAAACATATTTTCCTCTGAGAAAAGCCTCCAGAGCAGTGTTTTGCTCTTCTTTCAGTGAAGAAATACTCTGTAATTCCGATAAAACTTGCTCGATAGTCACGCTAACGCTAGTTTCATCGGCTGAAGCCGCCATGTTCTTTAGACTGAACTGTCGCGCTTCTCGTTGCGTCACACCTCAACCCGCCTCAAAGCCAACGCTGATTGGACGTTCGTTTGGTGAACGGCTCCAAATTTTCTTTAACGGAGAGTCTCCAGACTGATCTGCGAGTGAAACCTTGAAAGCTCGCGAGATCAGGATGGTCTCACGAGGCTAGCTAAATTGTAGAATCCTCTCCCAATAAATATTTAATTCTATGTGAATTAATGCCGATCATTCTTTAATAAGATCCTCGTCAGACAGACATGCAATGTTTCTATTAAAAACCTAATGTGTCTAACGGAGCTAGTGAATTATTTTTTTTATTTTTATGTAAAGCAGTTTCAGCACCGTTTTATGTCTGCCTCATAAAGTGGCCGCTGAGCGTCTCGGTGTGTTGCCGTCCTGACCTTTCTGCATCCCTTCGCCTCCTGCAGGGTGACCGTCACGGCGACCTACTTCGGCCACTCAGAGCAGGTATCTAAGGAGATGTATCAGTATGTGGATTGTGGGGGGAACACTACGGCGTTCAGAGGAGCAGATAACGGCCTACTTCCTGCTGAGTGATACTCCTGCTGTAGCTCCGCCCACATCATCCTGGTTCAGATTTTTTTGTTTTATTTTGGGTTAAAAAAACTACTGTTGTTAAAATAAATCATTTTTATTTTCTTTGAGAGTTTATTAAAAAGACTAAGATAAGGTTAACTTTTCATCTTAGTCTTTTACAAATTTATGAATCAAACCTAAAACATAATTCATTTTTTTTACTTGGAAATGTTATAAAAGCTTTTATTTATAGAAGTAACCTTTTTAAAAATCCGAGTTGTGGATATTGATAGTTTGGTTTCTAAGCAGCGGCGCCTTCCTCCACTGTTCATAAAGGGAGCCATGTTTATCACCTCCCTGTGACCAGCAGTGATGTTCAGGATTAACTTTGGAGGAAGGAGCCTCCTTGCTGTTCACTGAACTCAGTCTTTGTGTTTTTATGATTTCTGTTTTGTTTTTGTCTCAAAAGAAGCTCGTTCCTTTGACTTTTCTGTACCTCCAACTGACTTCATGTTGAATGTGCTGCTAAAGTTCTGTTTAGGGTTTATATTAATGATTCTTAGGTGGAAATCAGTGGCTGCTGGCCAATAGAGGGCGCTAGGGTGCCGCCCCTCTCACCAAAATAACTTGACAAAACTATAACACCAAATAAAATAAAAAAATTAAATTAAATAATTAAATTAAAATATTCTGAAATAAATTAATATATATTTTTTAGATGTTCAAGATAAATATTTAATCTTTAATGACAAGTAAAGCTGTTTTATTCGTTGTTGGATTGGTTATGTATTTCCACCCAGGGGAGCTAAACTCCTGCGCCCAGAGCTGAAAGCAGCTTTATTTGCCAACCACCTCCCTCCACAGCGCTGACGTCACAGTCGTCTGTTAGAAAGTCTAGCTGATTGACAGGTTTATAGAATTATTTAGCAACAAGGCTAAGCTAACTGCATGCAGCAAGGCTAACGCTACGTTCAGACCACAAGCAGCAGGAGCAGCAAAAACACGCGTGCTGCTTCATTTTTGATGCTTGTAAGAGTTTAGTTTTGATACGCAGCTGAAGCATCTTTGCTGCTCTAGCTGCACGAGCCTGATGCGCATTGGGCGGAGCTACCCCATCCTTCTTTGCCTGGAACAATGGCGGCTATATTAGCTGTGATCAGTTAGAATCTATGTTGAAGTGAGAAAGTCCTCCTGAAAACATGGTCTGTGCAGTCAGTTCATCCAGATTACCATCCTGCCTTCAAAGATTATTTCTCTGTGGGAGCCGCTCAGACGCTGCGCTGTCACTGGGAATCCCCAGCAGCAGCTGCCTCAGAAATCTGGGGGTTTTCCGCTACTGTTGGTGGCGGCTGGAAGTAGATGTTAGCATTTTTCACGGTCGTAATCCAAATTGCAGGCAGCAGGATAATAAAGGCCAACATATTCTGCTGGCAGGTTTCTACGTTTGAAGTTAATTTAGGCGTTAATAAACTGTTTCAGAGGAGTGATCATAGCGCTCTGCATCAGCAGTGCTGCGTCTGACTCCCTGCCAGCTGCCAGATCAGCTTCTCTGATTGGTTCATGCGGCGCCTCGTCCAGCAGCTAAAGTTCAGTTTTTAGACCGCTTCAGCTGCTCAAACGTGCTGCAGGACCTTTTGCTGCACCTTGATGCTCGTCAACCGTTAACTTTGCATGTAAACCAGCTGCTTCTGCTGCCTCTGCTGCTTGCGTTCTGAACGTAGCCTAACGCTTTATTCTGCTTTCCATCTGGATCTGACCCAGCGTGGATAAAGACAGCTAGGACTGATTTAAAGCACTTTGCAGAACATTTTAGAATGTTGTTTTTTTGTTGTTGGCATTTATATAAATATACTGGTGTGATACCCTCTTATACATTTGATTGGTTTTTCGTCTACATCTATTTTGAAGTTATAGCGCCCCCTGGAGAAAACTCCAACACTGTTGGAATTATAGTTATAATAGCAGAAATCCACCATTTACACTAAATGACCCATTATTATCCTGGATAATTATGCGGATTAAAAATTGCTCTTAGTGACAAATCTCACTGCAAATTAGAAAACATGTTCGTATTTATTGATTGTTTAAGGACTTTTTATTTTGTTTTAATGATTTTATTTAATGCATTGTAATGGTGCAGCGCTTCTGGGTTGCTTTGTCTGTGTTTTTAAGCCTTAATGGTTGTTTGGGTTCTTTTTGCTCTCAGTAAGCCAAACAGAGACATAATCGTCCTTCTAAACGGTTCTTCACCGATAACGCTCCTCACTCTAATCAGTCAAAGTCTAACACCTAAACATAACAGAAGGATGAGGGCTGAGATTCTTCCTCCTTTGGTTTGGTTGTGCTTTCACGTTGATCACGGCTGTAGTTATACAGAGTCGTGAGAAAAACAAACTCGATGTCAGAGATGTGCCATAATGCCATATTTCTGTAGTTCTGAATTCCTCTGGATGCTTCAGGCCAGATCTGATTAAGAGTTAAAATAAATACTAATTTTTTTATGAGATCCAGATCTCATCATTTAGTAGATTAACTAGATCCAATATTATTTCTATATTTCACCTTAAACCCCTGAGAGGTTCAGAGGCTCTATCTGCCTGCAACCTTTTGGTATTATTGTGAAGAAAAGAGTGTTTCTCTACACTTTAGCAGCTGCTACCATCTTTTTAAAAAAAAATGTTTTTTTTGCCTTAGATTTTTTTATATAAACAGTTCTAGAAATAACTACAAAATTCTTTAAATGAGGTGTATTTACCCTTAATCTGAGTAGGTAAATAAGATGATTTGCTAATGGAATAAGCATTTGTACTCTTAAAATGAGATAATAAGATAATATGCATAGGACAATGCAATTGTTTTCTCCTATTTTAAATGCAAATTGTCTCACTGACCTCCTGGATTCAAGAAAATATACAAGATTTTAAGAAAAACTGACTTATCCTGATTTCTATTTTTTGCAGTGAAGATAACTGGTAAATCCCATGTTTTTGCTCATATGTGACCTGGATCGGATCTCTTAACAACACAGATCCAATATTTACCAGTGCGACCCAGTCCACTCGGCCCGAATCCGGTACGAATCTAATCTTTTTTAAATGTGACCTGTGTCTGAACGGCCATGTCGCATTCATCCGACCTGAACATCACTAATACTCAACAAAGATCACTATTTGCATCTTGCTACGCAGAAATGGGAAGAGAAACAACAATCATGGTGGATAATGATGCAGAGGGCAGTCTTTATTCTAAACCTCATTAAAAAGATTGAGGTTGGAAAAAAAATGAAAGATCACTAGTTGGGCTCTAGAACTACCATCCATGTTTCCTTCTGTTAACACAGAACACCCTCGCTAGTTATGATGTCATTGCGTCCTCCTCTGCACATGTGGACACTTAAGCGCCATGAATGCAGTTCATACAGGAGATCACATTCAATTTGCATATATTTGGAAAAATGAACCACTACGCAGAAGAATCAAATTTCACACAAAAAATGGCCTGCAGTGTGAAAAAAGGAGGTGATCCAATAAACGAGCTGATTGACTCCTCCTGCCTCTGATTGGGGCTTTGGTCGCCACATTTCTGCTGCAGTTCAGGTTTCTCAAACTTAAATCCTAATTTGCCTGAATCAAATGGTTAACTAGCACGTCAAGCTCAGCTAATGATATTAGCATCAGCTGGGTTGAAGCAGAGACTTATGGGAAATTTCAGTTTGACATCATCAAGAATAAAGTGAAATATTTTCTTACATTTGGGATTAAAACATGTTGGTCTTACCGTAATTTTTATGGTGATCTTTTCACATTTTTGTTTTGTTTGACACGCTGTGTGCTTACAGTAAGTCACCTTTACTCCATCTTTAAGCTGATTAGTTGTTTGTAGTTTATTTGTTGACATGTTTAAGCTACCATAACTTCTATTAATCCTCCTGACAAGCAGATTCATTTACACAGATCTTTTTAACGTTGAGTCATTCCTTTTATTAACATTATCTGTTCATCCAACATGCACTGTATATGTTGTGACATATTTAATAAAGTTAAGAAACTAAAACACTTGCTGCCTTTTTCTCTTTAGAGGATCAAAGTCTCCAGTCAACAAAGATGTTTTAGTTCAATGTTTTACTGAAAAACAGCGGAAAACTTTTCAGCAGATAAATTAAATTGATGGAAGCTTTGCTATATTGATCTTCCTCCATAACTTCTGTTTTACTCTGAAATGCTGCTTATCACGTCTAAAACTAATCCTGACCGTTGATCGCTTACTCTAATCTCAGACAGGATTGTTTCTCAGACACATCTGGATTGTTTTTCTCATTCTTAAGGTTTTTAGTTCTTGAAGCAGCTGTTTCCATCTATGCAGGACCATGTTAATACATTGCAATTAATTCATTATTGAAATAATCGTTAACTAATTTAGTAATCAGTTTATCCTTAACTGGAGTATAGTTTGTAAAACATCCCTTTAGCTGACAGACCCACCCGACCCACTCAGAGCCGGATTTATACCAAGATTAAAAAAATATACAGAGATTTTGCATTTAAGTGTAGAAAAAAAAAAATTTGTCTGTCAAACTGCTCTATCCAGAAGTCCTCAAGTGAAATTTTTTTGAGTCTCATGTGGTTTAATTTTGTAAAGAGTTCTTTAAAGCAAAAGAAAAGAATTCAAACTTCTGAAAGTACCTTAAATATAAAATTAATCCATACTGTTCGATAAATGTTTTTAATTCAGAGTAATTTTCATGTGAATGTGCTTTACTGGAGGCATCCATGTTGGTCAAAGAACACTACTGCCACCTACTGGTTAGTGACGTCACAGTGCGGTATCGGCTGTTGATCAAGTCCCAGTGCTGTATCTGGTGTTTGTCACAACGCGCTATTATCCAAGTCATCTTGAAAACATTCTTCTTCCAAATGTTGGCTACATATTACGGGTTTTTTCTCTGGCCAGAAGTTCGATGGCAAATCCTCCCTCTTCAAGTTGGCGATCCAACGACCAACCCGTCCGTGGAGGATCAGGAATCAGGAAGGTGAAATAACCATTTTATTTTTCCACTTTTACCCGATGTATTCCAGCATCCAGCTGCCATGCACGTGGGCATTGTCAGTTTCACTATAGCTCTGGTGAATTTCAATGGTGAAGTCCTCTGGAAATCTTCAATAATTGTTGTTGATTGCAGATGTGTCTAGTAGTTCCCATTGATTTAGCTTGTAAAGCGGGGAGAATGGCGCTAGGCTTACCGCACCGTGACGTCACTGCCGGAAGATGGCAGGAGGGAGGGGTTGCTATATTTGGGTAAAAATGGCCGCTCCCAGACTCATTGATCATGGCAAAAAATTTTGTTTTCATTTTTTTACTGATTAACACTAAATCCATTAAATCACTGCAAACGTCTTAGTGTTTGGTATAGATGATGATCCATTGGTTATTCTTTGCTGACCGGACTTTTCCAGTTAAATAATCATTTGCTCTCCAATTAATCGATTAAGCGAAAAAAATTATTGATAGATCAATCGATTTGAAAGATAATCTTTAGTTGCAGCCTTAAATGCGATACTGTTTTCAGGATTTTCCCCAGAGGTGACCAGTGCTGACGCAGCTTTAAAATAACTGATGATTTGGACCAAATAACAATGAAAATAGGTCTTAATTAACCTTAAATCTGCTGAATTGACATGTAAAACATTATATCCTCATCAAAGGCTATTTAGAAAATGAAACCTGCTTTGAGAAA